CGTTCAGCAGAGAGATGGTGCTGTCACAGGTGCGTGGTGGGGGCTTGTAGTCCGTAATGGTCTGTATCCCCTGCCACAGGCTCCGAGTGTCTCTGCTGTCGCTGAAATGATGGGCTATCCTCCTGGAGTACTGACTTTTTGCCTTCCTGATGCCGCGGGAAAGGTTGGTCCTAGCTGTCCTCAAGCCCACCTCATCTCCAGCTCTGAAGGCAGCGTTCCGCATCTTCAGGAGTTCGTAGACCTCCCCTGTTAGCCACGGCTTCTGGTTGGCCCGGACAGTGATGGTCTTTGTGACTGTTACATCATCAATGCACTAGGTGATGTAGGCAGTGACAGTCTCTGAGTACTCCTGGAGGTCTGTGGTGTTATTGTATGTGGCAGCCTGCTTAAACATATTCCAGTCAGTGGTGTTAAAACAGTCTTGAAGAGCCTCTGACGACCCTTCCGACCTATAAAGAATTATCTTAGTTTAAATACTGTATATAACAATAGATATCCCCTTCTGAGTGTGTACTGTAGTGAACACTGCATAGGGACCCTGGGAATTGGAATGCAGCTTGTGGTGCGTTCAAGTCATGTCGGATAGATCGTATTTACGAGTTGAACGCGCATGAACGCCACCACAAAGTCGTTATTATGAGTGGGAAACTCAAAATTTTCTTTAAGCCCAGAGTTTCCGAGTTGGGGGCGTGTCAATGAGAAACATGGCAGAATCGATGGCTGCAGCGTCTGTAGTTGACGGTAAATTTTTGTTTAAATTGATAGTTTAGTTAGTCCTATAAACTTAAATTGGTCATTGTTCTTGTTATGCAGATAGTTAATGAAATAAATGCTATCATTTTTGCACCTATTGTAAATTGTAAGTTATAACACCGTAAATTATCTCTCATCTCTTGATCTCATCTTCACTCTCTCTCTCCTTCTCATGGTCTCTTTCTTCCCTCCTTCCTGTCAAGTGCTTATGCCCAGTGGGATGACGTCACCTCAGATGTGCTTGCAGCCATACAAGCTGGCTTGCACAAAGACTAGAGTGTGTGATGTGACACCAATAGAGCGACCCCACCCCCCTTTCCCAATTTAACAGACAGAGAGAGAATATTAAACCTCAAGTACTGTAAAGGTTAACTTTGTTTTAATTGTTTGCGGTCCCAGAGACCCCACTGCTGTACATGCAAAATATTAATAGTGTATATTAATAATAGTGCTATAATTAATAATGGTGCTTTTATTCATGTTTTATATTTGGGTTCTCTGGTTCAATCAAGTTTAAATTTAGAATCTGTTTTCATAAGATTAGTCATAAAGTATCATCCTGATACTATTATGTTAAGTATGTTTTATGAGCTGTTTAAACAGCCTTGGAGTCTCTCAGACCCCAAACAGAACAGAAGGATTAATACTTTTTTTTCACAGTGCGTACAGTTCTTTGAAGGGCAAGCTGTTTGTTTGTGCTATTCATACTCCTGTTTGTGATCATTGATGTCATAGCTGTCTGTTTCCAATGACTATTGATGATGACCAGGCACAGAGGAAATCAGATCATTTCAGCATTTTCTGCTCTGAAATTTAAAGAGAAGAAATGTTTCTGTAAGATTTTTAAAATGGGTTTGAAATAAGTCTTATTTAATCAAAAATACAGTAAAAACAGTAATATTACGAAATATTATTACAATTTAAAATAACTGCTTTCTATTTGAATTAATTTAAAAATGTGATATATTCCTATGATGACAGCTAAATTTACTTCAGTCTTCATGGTCACAAGATTCTTCAGAAATCATTCTAATATTTTGATTTGCCAATCAAGAAACATTTCTTCTTCTTTTTTTTTAAAATAAATTTGATGATGAATAGAAAGTTCAAAAGAACAGTATTCATTTTAAATAGAAACCTTTTGCAACATTATAAATGTCTTTCCTGTCATTTTGATCAATTGAATGCATTCATGCTTAATAAATTTTATTTTATTTTTTCAAAAAAATCTCACTGACCCCAAACATTTGAATTGTTTATATTTAAAATTAATATAATCTATTCTATATTTAATTACTACTCCATATAATAAGGTATGATTTGTGTGTATAAAAAAGGTGTTATTTACCTAAAGGGCCTTGTGTTTGAGCAGGTTTTGCTTAGTCTTGCAGCCAACGTACTCTCCTCAGTTTTTCATTAACAAGATTGAGTGTGAAGCACAAGAGCAGGAATGGAGACCGGAAGAACAGGAAAGAGGGTGCTGGAGAGAGAGAGAGAGAGAGAAATCCTGGCGTAGCACACATCTGAGAAACAAGAGAGAGCAACTGGGATGCGTTGCCATAACAACGAATTCAGCAGGCCGCTTACTAGCTTGTGTGTGTGTGAGACGGAGGAGAGGGTAGAGCAAGCAGATGTGTGTGTGTGTGTGTGTGTGTGTGTATGCCAGTGAGCAGTGCTGGAGGAGAGTTAAAAAAAAAGAAAAAGGTGTGCATGAAGCTTGCTTGTGATTGGTCACACCTCTCCTGTCTTTGTGTGGAGTGGAGCATGTTGGGTAAGTGTCCATCGCCAGAGCTGCCTTTTCTGATGGCTGCAGCACAGAAGCAGAGGGAGGGGTCTCTCTGCACCTCCCTCCATCCTGCTCTCTCTTTCTTTCTCTCTCACATCCTCACACCCGCTATCCTCCCCCTACTAAAGTAAAAACAATCAAATTCATAATGGAGAGCAACTGAATTTAGCTCTAGCATGCTGATGCCTCACACACAAAAAAAGCACTGGGCTACCAGCTTCCCCAGCAGTCACTAATGCTCCATAAGTCATTTAGAGGCTTACGAGCAGCACGTTGCTGTCTGTACAGACTGCATGAACAGTGAAACACACAGGCTGGGATTTGAGTGATGGTCCTTTGCCTGCTGTATACACACACACACACACACACACCAGGAGAGCAGCAGCTCCGTGTGGATGATGTCATCCTATCTGCATCCTGCAGTGTTAGCAGCGCAGCTTCAGACCCTTTGTTGCCCTTTACGCTATACTCGGACCAGTTTTATGGGTTCTTTTAGCATTGTGAGCTAAGTAGTGAAGCACAGCATAATCTTTAGAGGTTAAAGGAGTTGTTCATGCTTGCAGTGTAATCTTAGTGTAAAACATAATTTTTCCTGAGATATTTTGTAGCTTCTTTCAATACACATGAATGGACACCGGTTTTAACATTTTTTTTTTTTTCAAGATCGGTGTTTCTACTGCTGTTTATTAGTTTAGACTTCATCTCCAAGCAATAAAAATTTCTAAATTGTATAATTTTTTTTTTTAATGAACAATGATATAGAATTATGCTTTGTATTTCTGATCTCATCTCCAAATTGGATTTCACTTCATTATGAATAACTGTATAAATGATCCATAACGATTTTTAGCCATGGTTTGGATAATGCTGACTCAGTTCTCACTATTAAACATCATAGTGTTTGTAACTTTTACACAAAGAATACATGGTGTTTAAAAGGTGTGTCAGACAGACGTTCTGCATGTAACATGTATGTCTTGTGGTATTTCATCTGCTACCAACAATATTAAAGCATTTGATGTAGTGCATATGCTTCTTTTAATAATGAGCTGGACAACAGTGGGTAAAGCATCATTAAAAGGCTTTGCAACAGATGCAGGAAAGTGGAAAAGTGAAGTATAGTCTCTCAGATGTATTATGTGATATAACATGTTTGATTTGCTCTGAATTGTGCTTCTAGTAAATCCAATATGCATGGGTGTTTTTTTGGGATCAATATTGATGCATGGCCTGGGGTCTTTCTGCCTACGCAGGCAGAGGGGCTTATTGCTGAGTCGTCAGTATAAGGTTAGACTTCATCTCCAAGCAATAAAAATTTCTAAATTGTATAATTTTTTTTTTAATGAACAATGCTATAGAATTATGCTTTGTATTTCTGATCTCATCTCCAAATTGGATTTCACTTCATTATGAATAACTGTATAAATGATCCATAACGATTTTTAGCCATGGTTTGGATAATGCTGACTCAGTTCTCACTATTAAACATCATAGTGTTTGTAACTTTTACACAAAGAATGCATGGTGTTTAAAAGGTGTGTCAGACAGACGTTCTGCATGTAACATGTATGTCTTGTGGTATTTCATCTGCTACCAACAATATTAAAGCATTTGATGTAGTGCATATGCTTCTTTTAATAATGAGCTGGACAACAGTGGGTAAAGCATCATTAAAAGGCTTTGCAACAGATGCAGGAAAGTGGAAAAGTGAAGTATAGTCTCTCAGATGTATTATGTGATATAACATGTTTGATTTGCTCTGAATTGTGCTTCTAGTAAATCCAATATGCATGGGTGTTTTTTTGGGATCAATATTGATGCATGGCCTGGGGTCTTTCTGCCTACGCAGGCAGAGGGGCTTATTGCTGAGTCGTCAGTATAAGGTCACATTTGGCAACACACGATCACACACCCTGGATAACCTTCACGCTACTGTTGTGACTGTATAGCATCTTGAATCTCCTCCACACCCCTCCCTGGCCTCAAACTCCTCCTTTCTCCTGGTCCCACGTTATTACCTTGGGAGACATTGTGAACTCATAAAAATCTTAGGTGGTTTTTGTTTTCTTATTTGTTTGTGTAACATTAAAAAAGGTGACATTTAAGGACCAATCAGTTAGTTGCCAAACAATTACGTTCTTGTATAGTAGGACTGACCATTATTTTGTGTGTGTGTCCCTCTCTAGGCGATGCATCTCCAATCAGTATGTCACCCATCAGTCAGTCTCAGTTCATCCCACTGGGAGAGATTCTGTGTCTGGCCATCTCAGCCATGAACTCTGCCCGCAAGCCTGTCACACAAGATGCACTGATGGAGCACCTTGCCACCTGCTTCCCAGGTAGCCCTCCAGACACACTTATGAACACACACACACTTGAGTGCTGTAAACACTACTAATAATATTTTAGAATAGACATTACCACATTAATTATTACCTATGCAAGTTTCATTATAACATTATAAAAAGACTTTCAGTTTTATTGGGATAATCTTAAAAATATTGTGCTGGATAAATTGCCATTTTGCACAAGCCACAATTATTTGGGTTCATTCATCTCATTTGCTGAGATTATATCAATAGGTCAAATTCATAATCAGTTTTTTTTTTCGGGTAAGGAATTTACAGTAAAGAAAGACTGACCATAATTTTGATTTATAGATGAAAATGAAAATATTCTTACCCTGTCTATCAAAACTACCCTTTAAAATAATGTTTTTCCCCCTGTACTATTGTAA